CACAGCAACCTTGCCTGATATGATAAAAATATCATATCATCAATTGGATAATATATCATGTGAATATAATTAAATATATATCATATGAATATAATTAAATATAACAGAGTAAAAATTGAACAATAATATGAAAGGCTGACTGACTGACCTCCCCAACAGAAACCTGCAGCTCCAATTTTTTTTATTCCTTTCTTTCGTAAAGCTTTAACAAATTTATTTGCATCTTTAATTGCCTTTTCCTACGAAATAAAATGAATTTGTACATAATACATGATATATAAATAACCATGATAATAAAATAAAATGATCATAACTTACAGCGGGGTGTTTTTTGAGCCAATCTTGGAAAGGTTTATTAGGTTGATCTGAAACAAAAGGATCTCCATTGAAAAAGTCAGGGACCAAAGTATAAAATCCAGCTGCACTAATTTTATCAGCTATATTCCTTCAATAAAAAAAAAAAAAATGAATTAGATTTGTGGAATAATATTAAATCAGGAAATTACTTTTTTTTTTAAAAAAATATATATTTTATTTTGGTTAATATATACATATAATATATATCTCCAGATACTACGATTCCGTTACGGAACCATTCCGTCAGAGTTTATAACTGTTAGATCAACTATCTCTTACGATTGATTAGATTATGATATAACAGTTAGAAACGCCAATGGTTACGCAACGACACCTTATCATTTCCCCTCCAATGAAGTCTGATTGTTGATTTCATGGTCAAATGTGGTGGGTCATATAATATAATTTATTTGTCTAACTGACTCTATACGGCATCATATGAAATTTCAATAACGTTAAAGTACCTCAAGTGGGGAACGCCATATCCTGCATTTTTATAGAAAAAAGGTGTAATTACAGAACTTGAAATGTCAGAATAGTTATTGTGAAGAAAAAAATAAATAAAAAAAAAGTAAATAAATAATTATGATTAATTTCACTATTTCAGCTGCATATATATTATATTATATATACCATGAACATCTGAAGCCAATATGACGGCAGTATCGGAGTCATTAGGGCCACTGGCATAGCTTTTGAGGCCTCCAATCTCTATAACTTCTCCTGCTCAATTTTCAACCGTTGCTTGTAATTTTTGGCGAATAACAATATCTTTGAGGATCTCAAGTAAGTTCGTGAAAAAATCATGAAAAATCGCTCGTTTTTTTTTTTTTTTTTTTTTTTTTTTTTTTTTTTTTTTTTTTCTCTAGGAAACATGCATACCTCGTTCTCCTTGGCTCTCGACTTGAATCTTTGTCATGGCAACTAAATATAGTAGTAACTTTAGCCAATGTATAGCCATGGATTTGAATGTTTTTCGCATAAATGAACAAAAACGAAAATGAAAGGAAAGAAATTTGGATGTTAGCGAAGAACACATGTGCCCTATATTTTATAATAATTGGTAAATGTCCACATTCATTGTCCCGGCCACTAGAATTTGATGATTTTTTTAGGATTTCTTTTATGATATTACATTGACCTTTTTAATAATTTAAAGAAATTTAACTAGTATGATGTCCGTGTACTACAAGATGACCTAAATATATTAATATTTGTATAATGAAATAAATTAAAATAAGTTACGTTTTTGTTGTGGAATTTTGTATAATGAATATACAACAACATTAAATAATTAGCAAAGTGATAATTAATTTAAAATGGCGACCGTATTACTATACTAGATTTGTCAAACATGATATTTTTTAATTGTATTTTTACAATAGTGTATTTACTAAAACATATATTATATACAACTCCATCGATTTGATTTAAATATTTTTAAAGCAAAACAAGTTTCATTGTATTGTGATTATATTTTATATTTATAGAGTCATTGTCTCATGTTTCTTACTTGTTCAAGTATTTTAAATTCATACAATTTTTAACAATTTAGAATATTAATTTATGTAGAAATGTATTATTTCTAATAATATTTTTATTTATGCTATTCCTGTATATTTAATATTTTAAACAATATAATAACATTAAGTTCTTTATACAATATGTTTAATTCGAGAGAATAATATTTTATAATATATCTTAAAATTTATTTAATATAATACATAATTTCCATATTTATGCAAAATCTATGTCAAAAGTACATTAAAATGATGATTTTATGGTGTACTAATAAATTATTTTTTATTATTTAATTTAAATTTATTTGCTAATGAAACCAGTACTAATCTCGTGCGATGCACGGAGAAGAGTTATTCACTTATACTTTTAAATTAAAAATGCTTATTAATTAATATTAATAAATTAAAAATATGAAATCAATATGTAATGCGTCACTCCTCCCGTTGTTAATTTATTTTAAATGTTATATGAAAGATAATTTGTGCAAATTAAATTACATAAAACATATATATTGAAATTACTACACAACTCGTACGGTGTACATAACATGTAATAATTTACATCTGTAACACCCCACTTTGATTTTAAAGAAATTCCGGACTTT